ATACCATGATTCTATTTTGGATTCCTTTTTGGGTACATCTAATTGTATCCTCTATAGTATACTTGTTTTTTTGTTTTTGTTGCTGCCTCCCACCCTCACCTTCCTGATTTCTATCCCTAAGCCAAATCTTTGCTCGAAGGAGCATTTTATTTTTGTCTCCTAACACATCATCCTTCACTCTAGCCATGTCTACACTGGCTGAAAACAGAAGTCAATGTGGAGGATTCCCATGATATTATTTTGGAAGAAGAATTCTTTCTAATGATTCACACTTCAAGTTCCCTTTCACCATAGTCAGATGCAAAGCTGATTTTGGCTCTTCTGGATATTGACTTTTCTTTTGTAAAGTGAAGTTTCATTTGGAACAACTAATAAGCTACATAGAAAAAGCCATGAGTAGTTAATTATACATAAGGACTTAAGAAATTAGCCAGAACCACTATTAAAAAGAACCATCTGTGCTCTGTGTGAGTTTCAATTCAAAGAGGTTTCCTTATCTAATTACAAAAATACTTGGCGTCAATGAGCAACCAGCCCTTAGTTTACCTGTATCAAATATCCAGCAAAAGGTGTTGGCTTTGGCTCAATAATTGTGACTCCTTGATTACTTGATAACTGCTAAGAAAGAAGAGTTCCTGAGCAGAGGGCTTTTCCCTGATTATAGTTTCTCCAAAAATCCTGGTGAGAGTCCACAGAAACACAGTTGTCATTCATAAATGTCTTATGATAGTGTTGAGGAGAAATTTTGTGAAATTCCACTTCTGTCTTCCAATGCAAGAGAATGACTGTCCAAGGAGTGTCACTTCCTTAAAAGAACATAAGCTGCCCCTCTGTGACATGCTAAGAACATAAACATGGAGGATATGCATAGCTCTTAGCAAATTATGATATCTACTCCATCTGATACAGTGAAAAGTCTATTATTCCTCATGAAACTGGTCTCTTCTACTTTTCAATCATTCCAACTAATATGTCCCAATGTTTACACTGCACATCGTAGAGTGTCTCCACTTTTGTTTCTTGTTTTAATGATTTGCAATATGGGCAGGATCTTAAGGAAATAGTCCTACATCTCATTACATTTACCCCGTTTTACTTACAAAGTAATTTTAGCTGAAGGATTGACCTTAAACGTGTTTTTTAGTTTGAGTTTATTTCCTTTTCTCAGTTAGCTATACATACAACAAAAAGAAATCATTCGATAAAATATAAGAACTAACATGAATTGAGACATAGCTAAAATTTTCATACTCTGGAATTTCTGACAAAATGAGGACAAACACAGAAGTAGAAAGAAAATTAAAAACAGTGTAAGAGAGTTTGCATCCATGCATGCACACATACTTATAAATGTATGCAATGTGCACATGATTATTTGAGTTTCATAGCCAAAGATGTTATCTTGACTACTTAGCTAAATGAGATGCAGAATCTTTCGTATGAAAATATGGGCCATGTATGTTTTGGCTCTAAGGGTTATTGATAATTTATTTTTACTTGCTACCTTAAGCCTATTGAAATTTAATTATGGAGCACACTCATCATTCATTTATTCAGTGAGTATTGGGGCTGTTCCTTACTTCAGACTGTTGTCTAGATGTTTGGTGATTCAAAGATGAGTAAGACAGTTTATGACTCAGAGACCTGGGTTTATGATCAGAGATAGATATGAGAAAAATATGGCAAGAATGTGTCATCAGAAGGATATCAACTTGATGTTCTTTGATACTTGAAATGAGTCTTAAAGGATGAATAGAAGTTCAGAAGACATTTAATGCTGGAGAGGACCTTCCAGGAAGAGTGGGGAGCATGCAAAGGCAGAAAAATGATTCTGTGTTGCCCTGGGGGAAGAAGTGCTTGGGTAAGGCTGGAGCAGTTTCTGTGTGGCACATGTGGGTGGGTGTGTGTGGAAAATAACAAGAGATGAGAGGGGGGAAAAGGGTAGTTTGTGAGAGTTAGATATTAGACAAAGGCTAGACTTCAAAGGTCTTGTAAAACATAGTAAAGAATTTGGACTTTATCTTTTGAGTGTCTGGGGAATAACTGAGAATTTTAACAAGGATAGAGGAGCAATGATTAGATGCATGAACCACATGAAGCATGGATTCTTTTTAGGAGGAAAAGGAAGAAGGAGAGAAGTCAAGACAGTAATACCAGTTGTGAGACCCCTGAAATCATCCAGAGAAGAGCTGACAGTACTGGAAGACTGACCTCCATGTGTTAATTAAATGATATTTTTCATTTGGAGGGAAAAGACAGAAAAAGATTAAAATATATAATATAAAGAGTAATTATATTCAGTGATGAGATTTATGTTGATTTTATTTCCTGCTTTATACTTTCTTTTTTATTTTATCTTTATTTTCCCCCTCTTAATTAACAAATAATAATTTTGTGTATTTATGTATACAATGTGATGTTTTGATCTATACATATCATAGAAAGACTCAAGTTAATAAACACATCCATCCCAACTTTTTAAATGATCTTCAATGCACTAACTTATTTCTTCAATCTAAATGAAAGTTGTATCCTTTGATGTACATCTTCCCTTTTCTCCTCCCACTCTCTACCTTCTAGCCTTAGTAACCAACATTCATCTGTTTCTGTAAGATTCATCTTTTTAGAATTCACATATAAGTGAGATCATACAATATTTGTTACCTTGTGCTTGACTTATTTTACTTAATATAATGTCTTCTAGTTTGTCCATGTGGTTGCAAATGACAGGCAGAACATCCTTCTTTTAATGGCTGTATAGTATTCCATTGTGTGTGTCCTTGTGTGTGTCCGTGTACCAAATTTTCTTTATCCATTCAACTATATCTTTGCTTCCATGTCTTTGTTATTATGAATAATACTGAAATGAACATGGGAATGTAGATATCATTTTGGCATACTGATTTCCAGGAATGCTTGTACACTGTTGGTGGCAATGTAAATTAATGCAGCTATTTTGGAAAATAGTATGGAAGCTTTTCAAAAAATTGAAAATGGAATTACCATATAAGCTAACAATCTTCTGTGGGTTTTTGTTTGTTTGTTTTTGCTTTTCTTTATTTCTCAAATTTATAATTGTACATTTGTATTGCTTTGGTTACACAAAGAAACAATTCTAAGTTATGAAGCTTACACTGCAATCCTCATGTGAAAGCATAAAGATATAAACTAAGCATCCATCACAAAACAACCACTCAGTATCAACTCCACTACCTTTGGTGAAGTGCTTGCAAAAGGCATTGTAGAAAACTATCGTGCCCTGGAAAATCTGTGCAGGTGAAATGTTTTTGACTTTTCTTAAGAAACAAGGATTAAAAATCAGAACTGGAACTGATATCATGCAGTGGTATTGTTGGGCTCCACGATAGCAGATTTCACAAAGATCAGACGAGATGTGTGTTGTTGGAAGGCCATTGATAGGGGATAATGCAAATTTTATGTTTCTAAAGAGAAGTTAAGTTCTTTGAAGAATGCCATATTCAAGATTAAAAGATTGAGATCTTGAACTTAATCTTAAAATTTAGGTCACCAGTAGAATACTAGACTCACAAAAGCTTTTTTTTTTTTCTGTTTTCTTTGCCCATACTTCTTTAATGCTTAGAAATAGGCTCAGTATATACCTTGTGTTCAGCAAACCTTTGTCCAGGGAATGCATGATTAAGCACTTGGGTTTTACCAAACAGCTGGATTTCAGCTTGCTTAGCTTCTCTAAACCTTGATGTGCAAAGCATCAAGGATATTATTGGTATTCTCTGCCCAGAGTCACCACGGTTTTCTGCTGTGTCGCTCGGGGCTTGCAGCAGTGAGCGCATGGTCACCTCCTCACAGTGTCCTCCATGTTTAGCCACCAGCCACCAGGTTGTGCCTTGAACCACCCAGGACTCCCAGGCTCAGTTCAACCACCAAGTACCCCAGAGCTCTACTAGCCTGTGTCCTACAATTTTGATAGGGACAATGTGGCTCTGAAGAACTGTGTCAAGGACTTTGTTTACCAACTTCATGAAAGGAGAACACGCTTGAAAATGATGAGACTGAAGACCACGGAGGTGGCTGACATCCTTAAGGACATCAAGAAGCCAAATGATGATGGCTAGTACAGCAGACTGAAGGCAAGGAAGTGAGAAAAACAGTCACTACTGAAACTGCAGACTGGCCCCTGACAAAAAAGACCCCCACTGTGTGAACCTGTGTGAACAGGATGCAAATGGAGCCCTCAGTCAGTCCTGACAGAGCTTGTCTTTAACAGTTGCACCCTGGGAGACAGGGATACTGGAAAACAAAAGGCTTAGCCTACTTTCTCACCACAGAGCAACTTCCCTGGTCACCAAGACAGTACATGCAGGTTGGGGTTACCTTTACATTTTCTATAAGATCCATTGAACACACACTTTTGTTCCTTAGTTTATACTATTCTTTCAAATACAAAAATTTGTTTTCCCTCCCAAAAATTCCTCATAAAATTAAACTAAATTAACAGCTGAAAATCATTTAGTAGAGTGCCTAGCACGGAACGCCATATCTTCTGGTGTCATCAGTAATCAATGAGATGGATTACTGGTATTGATATTGATGGTGTCTAGCAAACAGCATTGTTAGATAAAGTGCGGTGTCTATAGCCATGCTACCTTGAACATGCTGGCTCTCATATGATATAAAGTAGTGGCGTTCTGTACTGATGCTCTAAAAGGTATTTTATAATAAAGTAAAACTGTTTTGTTGATTCTGTACTATCAGGGAATCATGGGTTTTTGAATACATGGTGAAAGGAACAGGAAGCCCACAAATCACACAGAAGTCTCTCTCTCTCTCTCTACCTCTCTCTCTCTCTCTCTCCAATATTCTTTTATATATTTTCTTTTGACTTGGGTTCAGAGAATGATTTGTTGGAAGGGGTCAGTTCAAAGGAGGGAGAAAATGACAAAAGTAAAACATTCAATAAGTCAGTCTTCTGGGTCTGTTACTCTGTTGAATGGTTGATTTTTTTTTTTTTTTAACTTCAGGTTATATTTAAAGGGTCACACTGGGACAGCAGGAAAACAGAGCAGCTTGATCTTACATGGTGCTGATTTCAGCACTAAAGATGCAGATAATGACAACTGTATGTGCAAATGTGCCCTCATGCTAACCGGAGGTAAGTCCTGTGGGGCCATTCTGTAAGCTACGTTTCATTGGTTTGAGGCTTGAGGTTTCTTATCTATGAGAAAAGGGTATGATCTTCTGGTCAGGAAACTTAAGACCAAGTCCCTAGAGATCATTTTGTTCTGCTCACTAATTTATCCTGTTCTTGTGCAAGACATTGTTAGCATACTTAGAGGTTGGCCTCTTCTTCTAACATCTACAGCAGGAGTGTGCTAAGGTTTATTTTGAATAAATTCTTTAGCCTCTTGAAGTTCCAATGATCTATTGTCTAAATAATTTTCATGATATCTATAGTGGAAAGAACAAAAATTTAGCAATACAGCAATTATTTCTTAAACTGCTTTACAATTGTGTTGTAGAGTTCATTGATCATTTTGTTGAAATAGAATAAGAAAAAAGAGAGGTGTAGTTAAACCTAAAGTTATACAGTTCAGACCAGTTACATCAGTGTTCTGCATTGTAGAGTATTGACTTTTGCAAAGTATTTTAGCTGGTATAGGAGATACCATTAAATAATATTATATTCCTGAACAAGAAAATGAATATTTTTTGCACCTTTTCAATAGTTTTTCAGACTTCTGATTGTGCCAAAGAGGAATTCTCAATTTGATCCTAGAATCTCTGTAGCATTGCTCCAGCACTTACTTTTTTTTTTTTTTATTCATATGTGCATACAATGTTTGGGTCATTTCTCCCCACTCCCTTACCACCCACCCCGTCCCCTCTCTTCCCTGCCCCCTCTAATTTTGTTGAAGAGAGAGTATAAGCAATAATAGGAAGGAACAAGGGTTTTTGCTAGTTGAGATAAGGATAGCTATACAGGGAGTTGACTCACATTGATTTCCTGTGCATGTGTGTTACCTTCATTTACTAATCACTCTTCTGGGCCAAGAAAGAGCAGATGCTTGTTCTTAATCTCAGAGCTTTGGGTAGGCAATGGCACCTACCAAAAAAAATCAATGTTATTTTGCTTTAATGTTATCAGGCTTTATAGCTACTTTCTATTATAGCAAATGGTCATGGTTTCTTTTATAAAGGAATGATATAAACTTCACATTTTAAAATGCAAGTGTTTTGCACTTAAATCATTAATTTAGAAAAATCAATTAAATGTTTATGCAATTTTATAAGCAGATATGGAAAAAATTGTGAAGTTGATACATGACTGACTTCAGTTAAAAAACACCAGCTTAAAAACCAATGGCAAAATGATGGAGCTCATGAATGGTTCGGGTTCTGGAAGGGAAGTGGTTGGCACCAAACAAATTGAAAGGAAATCTACCTTTCAGTGTTTCTTTACTCACAATTTTAGTATTGTTTCCATCTCTTAATGGAGTAGCAAGTTGACACTCTTTCTGTGTTATTCCATAACAAAACCTGTTCATGCTAGTGAGAAGAAAAGCTGAATTTAACATTTACCTTTTCCAAACATTATATTACTGCCAATATTATATCATGTTATTATATATGACTGCAATTGATATACTATCTTACTTGAACTCCTGTAGAACCAGCAAGGGAAGAAATTCTAATCTCGACTTTGTACATAAGGAAAATGAAACTTGGTTAATGTCACCATCCATTGTGTTCTTAACATTTAGCAGACTGGATTGTGATACATTGGGACACAATGGAAAATGTGATACATGAATGAATAAATATCTTGTGACCCTGAAATTATTTACAAATTTTAGATCCAATGAAGTGAATCTTTAGGTTGACATTTCTCATCAGTTAACAAGGTTGAAAATTATGGAGGAAAGGCTGTAGAGAGAGGTTTAAATCTTCCTCTCTTCCCCCATTACTACCACCACCAAATCACAGCCCACAGACCCCATCCACTTCACCTATTTGACATCATTTCAATATATCAGTGTCAGTATTAAGAACAACCTGTTATGAATCAGTCTCTGTCATATCCTTCTACTTAAATTTTAAACTCATCATTTAGCATTCCATTCAACTTCATCAAATATTTATAAGTATCCTGTATGTGTTTTTATGACCCTCACCCAAGAAACAATTCTTATAAATTTAGTATTTTTTTAAATGGCACCCAAAAGTTAGGACATGAACATTATTCCTGAAAAGTAATTTATTTTCATTACTTCCCTATCCCATAAATGCAATTGTCAGAGCCTTATACAAAAATGACAAAATGTGTTTTCTAGTTTCCTGCCCATTTTAATACTGAAATATATTTCATTTTATCTATGTCAATTTTTACAGAAAATTTTTCTTTCCAAATAAATTCAAGACATGAAATAACAAGAGTAAAATCGTTATATGTCCATAGAAGAGTATTCTGTATGTTCATTTTCCTATCAACATAATGAAAATATGGAGCAAACCAAAGAGGAGAATGCACCTCTTGGTTGTTGAGAAAATTTCATTGCTCAGATTTATGATTCTATTTCTGCTTCACATGATTTTACTTTGTTATGTTCTTTCATCCATAATCATTCTTGGACCTGCTTCTTACCCACCAATAAATACGTATGTTGGGGAGAGAAATTTTCCACTTCTTACTTGGGCTAGAATAGTCTAAGTCAATGTGTTTTTGTAATAAATGCCATTACCCTATCAAATATCCTTTCGAAAAAATCCAGATCTTGAAAATCCATTCACTCTGAAAAGCTAAAATGTGGAATTTAGATAGCTGAGAACTGGAAAACGTAAGGATGAATGTCAGTGACAGTCGAAGTAATTGGAGCATTGCCTGGAACTTATGTCCTACTTAGCTACTTCCCACCACTATTTATTCTCTGTCAAATGTTCTTTTAGAACCATTTTCATTGTCTAGTAACTGTTCTTTCTTTAAAAAATTATGTTTAAGCTCATTCTTACTTAAAATAGTCTCTTTTAAGCAGTGAGAAACTAACACTTCATATAGTTTGAAACTAATAATTTCATATAGTTCATTGTCACCAACTGATGTTTTGTTTATATAGTTTTCCTTCATTTTTTCTAAAGGGATTGAGGTTAAAAATAAAATTTATTGCTTACTAACTGTCCTAGATATATTGTTTTCAAGAACATTGGGGGATTTCAGTTGGAGGTCATTTATTTGAAAGAATTTGGTTATGTACTTTTTTGTAGCTGTGAGTCTAATAAAAATTGTCTCCCAAATTTTCTTCTGGTTTTGAGATGCCATATACCCCTTAAATTTGCTAGTAGGGAAAAGAAATGATTTTCGTTTTTGGTTTATAGGTTGTATTTAATGTTACTCAAAAATTGAGTTGAAAGGAAGCATAGTGGGCTGAGAAAGCATCATATATTTGCATCAATAGAACTAGGTATCACCATGTTTTACAGCCTGTTTCCCAGAAGTAAGCAGACTTATTCCTATCTTACCAAAAAGCCAGTAATTAGTCCATCCAGTTTAAATATTGAATATTTTTATGTTTAATTATGCATTGTTTTGTGTCAGAGCATATATTTCAAGGTCAAAATTTACACACATTTTCTATGGCAGTGACCTCTTAACTAACCATGAAATAAGATGATTTGTCAACATAGATTTATAAGTCAGAAATATCTATGCTGTGTGATTGCCATTGACCTCAGGAAAATTTGTCAGTTTTCTCTTTAGGGTTCCCCTTTTATCTTCTATAAAGGATATTTTTACAAAACTGGATATTTCTTTAGTAGGAAGGTACATTTAAGAGGTGACTGCAGGAAATACTTCCTTAATCCCTAAGAGGAGGGACTGTTGTGTCCTAGTAAGCCCAAAAAAAGCGACTGATAAAACTTAACAGTTTTATCTACTAGTTAGCATTAAGAAAAAGAAAATGTAATTCCATTTAGTGCATACTTTTGTTTGCATAGATTTATTATATATAAAATAAGTATGCAAAAATTCCTCTGACCTAAAATTAGGAAAATGGAAAAATTTATTACTAGATTACTATAATCAAAGTGAATTTATATTCAATTTATGTTCAACATGGTCTTTGTACTAGATTAAGATACTTCAAAGAAATGTTTTTTTAAAAAATCTGTTTAAGGTACAATTACTAACTATAGTTTTTTTACAGTTATCTAATTATTAAATAAATGTATAAATAATTATGTCTTAAGTCTCTAATACAGTTATTAAAAGTTGCTAACAACAAAAAAACAAACTTGGTATAGTTTCACATCCCTTTTCTTATTTTAGTTCTCTTTCAATGCAATTTCCATATTTAGTATATAATATAAAAGTTATGTAAAACTGTGACCTAACCTTCTGCAGAAAGAATCTGCTGCGGTAGAAACTCTGATTTCTTTTCCCACGCATAAACCATGTCAGCTGACAGACAAGACTTTCTAAAGCTAACAAAGGATATTTCACAATTCAGTCTTAAAAAGGGGATAAAGCCATACACATAAATTTCTTAAGATGCCCTAGAACTTACCAGATGCTAACAGCAGAGAGTTGATAAATGCTTGCTGTGTTTGCACTATAATCTTGACAAAGACAAAAATAAAAGAAACTAGCCACTTCTTTAACTGGTGAATGATATGGAAGTAACAACTTCTTTGGAAAAATATAGTCATCTTAGCATTTTTAATAACTCAAGAAAGACACAAAAAGCACTATGAGATAACTGGCAATCTCTAGATTTTAAATTAAAATGTTAGAGAAAAGATCCATATGGATAATGTGAGATTGGTGATAAAAAAGCTACATTACATTTCTTTTACTCCAACACAGTAGCAATGAATATCTGAGAATATCTTAAGTTTGGAAGTTTGAGATAAGGTGAATTAGGACTGATATGCCTATGACACAAATGTTAATAATTGATAGTAGTTAAGAAATAACAAAAAAACTAATTTTGTTTGTATTGTGCCCTGTAAAATAGCAAATATTTATAATCTAACAGACATGTTTGCATTATCTTGAATGATGTATATTTAATAACATAAATGTTCTTTATATTTAAGACAAAATGCAAACAAAAGAGCTGGTGTAGGGCTCAAGAGGTAGAGTGTTGACCTAGCATGTGT